CCATCTTCACAGAGAAAGGAAGAAATAAGTAATTTATAGCAATGAAGATCAGTATGCGCCTTAAATATAATTCCTCATGCACATGTTGAAAATGTATTCTTGGCCTGACATAAATTCTCTTTTGTCATCGTTAGGCTGTTTCCCCTCCTGAGCTGTAACAAAAGTTACAGCTCAGACTCCACAAGGGGCCACCTTCAATGGGATATGTTTTCCTTTTTAAGTTGGTGGTATAAAGTAAGGGGTCCTTTCTGCAGGCAAATTCTACGGAAAGGTGGCATGGTTTGTCCAGCTGACAGCAGAATGGAAGGTGTTCTGTGTGGGAAGGCTCGGAGTAGGAGGGCCTGCAGATCCCAAGGGGCAGCTGATATTCTTTTGGCTATAGAGAAAGCAGGAAGGGGGCTGCCAGCTCCTGTTTCAATAAGGTGATGCCCCTTGGAACACTCTTGGCAATTGGCTTCATTTACAGGTCAGTTTACCAATAAAGTTCCCTTCCCTTAATTGGGAGGATGCTTTGGGAATCTGCACATGTTTATTCAGAAATGACTGACATAACGCTAGTTTTCCATAAAATAAATATTTCTAATAGCCAATAATCAGTGATCTCTCTCTGTTTGTTTGATTTTCATCTGATTCCTACCACTTCTAATTTAATGGTCTGATATCTTGTTTCTCTCCTTTTGTGATTTAAGATAATTTGTTACCTTTTATCTGAATTAAAAAAAATGCTCTGCATTGTTGCGGTCTGCACAGGAAAGCATACTTAAGCAGCCAGGTAGAGAAATCCGCACCTTGAGAGAGTATCATGTTGTATGCAGACTTCTGTGAGATTAGCTTTTGAAGAAGCCCTTTGTTTTTATTCTGAATTTGATCCATTCCTGGGAATTTCATTTTCTTCTCCAGATCATTACGTTTGCATGTTTTCTTATCAAAGGAGGGCATGAGCATCTAAATCAGTTTTCACATAATTTATTCAGAGTCACGTGGTATCAATGAAGGGAAAGATGTTGTTTATCTTTTTACTGTTTTGTAGTGATGTCTAGTCTTTTCAACATGGTTTTCATCTTCAGAGCTCTGAGATGAGTAAGGTACCAGTGTCAAAACAACTGAGGATTCGTAAGGCCATCTTCATTACATGCATATTTTATTAGTTTAAAATGATGATTAAGGGAGAGTAGAGAGGTAAAACCACAACATTTGAATTCACTAAGAACAAGGGGAGAGTCATCAAAATCTGCTTTGCAGCTCTAGATAAATCCCTTACTCATTGTGCTGAAGCAGAAGCTCTGGCTTTTTAAAAAATCACTACCAAGAGAGCAAAATGTTGCTTTCACTTCTTTTCCTTCAAATTTTTGCTTTCTGATTGATCCTCATGTTTTGTATGAATAAATGGGTCCTCATGTTCATCCACAAACACTTTATGATGTGCTTTATCCAGCAAATACATGCTGTTTAATTTCTTCTGATCTCTTTTGCTGGTGAGCCTCTTTATTTTCTGTACTGTTACAGACACAATTCAGCATTCCTCACTTGATGTCCTGGTTCCTTCTTAAGTAGAATACGGATGATGATTTATTACTCGTATGATGCTAGGCCTAAAAGACCTTTCGTGGCTCTTACACAGTTTTCTAGGAGCTGTATGAAGCCAAGGCAGTATGTTTGTGTACTGTATACTTCTTAACTAATTATTCTAGAAATGCAAAGGTGCATCTTAACCGTGGACCAAATTTTCTACTGTTCTGTGCAGAGTAGCTTTCTTAATTCTGTACAAGGACTGAAAAATCTGGCCAGATTGATTTAACAGTAGATGCTGTCCTTGATACTTCAGTAATTAGAACTAATTAAATGAGAGCTTGCCTACTAGAGAGATTGCATTTCAGAAGACAACTTGATAATTAATTTTTCCTGAGAAGGACACTATGTCTTTGTGATTTCCTTTGTAGAAAATTCTTATTTATCAAAGCCTGATGTGTTGCTTATGTAAGTTCAGGTTTCATGGGAGAATGAAAGACTGGACACTGGGATATCACAAGAAGATTTTGTAGGGTCATAATACAGCTTCATTCAATTTAACAAATATCTGTATTTATTCTTCAGGTCTAGCTTTCTAAGACATAATTCATTTTTAGCCTAACCTGTTTCCAGCAGTCCTTGCTTGAATATCATTGTCCAGTTACTTGGAAGCACTTTCTGCTTATGATCTGTGTGCTGATAAATAAATACCAGAAGACAGCAGAGCTCCTGGAGAGCCATCATGCTTATATAGCTGCTGTGTCCCTGGGTATCTGCCACTGCCTCCAGGGAGTGGGATGCAATGAAACAGTAGACGCTCCTTTGAAGGATTCTCACTGAGCTGTTGACAAGTTCTTCATGGGCTGTGGACAATATACCACTATGCACTTGTATTGCACCACAGGGTCTCCCATTGACGCTTATCCTTTTCGTTTGGCCTCTGACCTCTGCTGCTTGCCACTTAGTGAAATGGCAGTTCAGAAAAGAAAGCAAGAGTCAGGCCAAAGGAGCTTTGCGTGTGTATCTTGCGTAGCCCAGCTTGCACTTCTTGCTGTTTTTCAAATTACTAATAATTGCTACAGATCATACGTATTCTTTCCATATGAAATAAAATCTATTCTCAAGTATAAATGGACAAAATAGAGTTAAGTTTTTCTGCTACTCAGATTTCTGAATTTTCACTCTGACGTCATTACTTTCTCTTTACTTTTTTTACTGAAAGTAATCCAGAACCAACACTAGGGAATTAAAAAATGTAGAAATGTGAATTTACAGGTTCAATCCCTCAGCAGTTTCTGTCTTTCACACGTTAGTGATCTGTACTTGGGCTTACTGAACTGAAATTGAAATGTCACGTCTAAGCGGGGTTTAAACAGTCCGTGCAAGAACGATTTTTGAATATGAGCATCTCATTCATTTGAGTAATTAAAACATTATCTTACAATTGATCATTACTAATCTTTTAGATCTGGTATAGAAACGATTGTGTTATTTCAGATGGATGAATGTGGAGTTCCTCAACTCTTAGAATGATACCAGTGAGAGTGGCCTCCTAGTTTGTTAATTGAATAACTCGATTGAAGAAATGCTGCAAAGCCTCTTTGGTCAGGATTCTGTTGTGTCAAGGCATTATTAAAAACAAACAAACAAATCCAGAATGAATAATCATCTCTCTTGACATTTGAGTTGGGAAATAACCCGACAACCTTCTTCTGTCTTTGCTGATAGAGGTTGGATGGAACAATCCCACCTTTTACTTTCTCTTCCCAATGATTTTGGAAGAGATCATCAAATCAAAGAGTAGAGCTGCAGGAAGCAGGGAGATGGTGGTTTAATTAGAGATTTAAAGGGTATTTTTTTCCCCTAGTACGTAGTGTCAATGTAGCTAAGATGTACAATGATTTATAGGTCTACTCTTTTACACTTAGAAAGGCAGAGATGGGACCCTTGCCTTTAGGAATTAGAAGCTTTCCCCCTTTGTTGACAGTTAAACTGAAAATCACAGAATCACAGAATGGCCAAGGTGGGAAGGGACCTCAAGGATCATGAATCTCCAACCCTTCTGCCACATGCAGGGCCACCAACCTCCACAATTAATACTACACCAGGCTGCCCAGGGCCGCATCCAATTTGGCCTTGAAAAGGTTGAGTAAAAATAATATTGCATAGAACATATAGGAAATCTGGAAAGGCAAAACAAATTTAATATTGACAGTGCTCGTTTACAAAACAGGAAAAACTGAAATTATGCTTAAGAGTTTTAGTGGTATAGATTTTACTGCCAGGATTTGTATTCTAAACTCCATACAGAGTTTTGAGTGTTTTGCCTACTATTTGTACATCAGTTTAGCAAAATAAAGTGTATTGACAATGTTTAGTTGTCAAAGCTAAGATGTAGAACTTTGACTGGCAAATGCCAAATTCAGTTTTAGAGATGTTTATTTATAGAATCACAGAATCCTTAATAGCTAGAAGGGACCTTTAAAGATCATCTAGTCCAACTCCCTTGCAATGAGCAGGAATGTGCACAGCTTGATTAGGTTGCTGATGGCCTGATCCAGCCTTGCTTTGAAAGTCTCCAGGGATAGGATATCAACCGCTTCTCTGGGCAACCTGTTCCAGTGCCTCACCACTTTCACTTGTAAAAGATTTTTTCCTTATATCTAACCTAAATATAGCCTCTTTAAGCTTGAAGCCATTTCCCCTTGTTCTGTCACCGTAGATTCTGCTAAAGAGTCTGTCCCTGTCTGTCCTGTAGCTCCCCTTTCGATATTGAAAGGCTGCTATCAAGTCTTTAGTTTATAACAGAGGTTAACTAGTGCTCCTGAAATCAGAGTATGACTTGAATAACTGTTTTCTTTCATTCAGAAAAGAAAATAAGACTATTAGCTGCCTGGAAATGTGCTTGCTTTAAAAAGCAGTTTCCTATCTGAAGCTGGAGAGATGTCTGATCTATCATTATTACTATTTTTGAAAAATATTTGCTTTTGATAGGAGCATTACAAAAACTGACAATCCAAATAAAAGTTTCTCAGCGATGATTAAACACCAAGGTGCTCGTGGTGATAGGAAGCTGCTGGATATCCTAACCATTTAGGTTAACGTGGTAATCACAGTAACTTAACTTGCTCCTTTGTTTCATTGGGAAGACAGAAATAGTGAATTGCTGAGTGCTTAATCCTCTTCCATGCATCTCAGTGAACTAAGAAGATGATCTTTACTTAAGTCAGGTAGAAAAAGATGAAATCACAAAGGTGACCAGCTGTAACTTCATTCACACTGGTGCTCACTGCATGCCAAGTGTTTGCAGGACTGGGGCCAGTGTTTGTAACTTCAATCTACTGCATCCCTGTTTTTTATTTCTTGATTCTTAACAGGTGTCCTCTTCCTGCCCAGTGCTCTGCAGACTGTGAAAGCAATTGAAAGTATTATGGTTAGACACTGAATACATCATGAAGATTAATTTGATAAATGATTAATTCTGGCTTCATGCTTGAAATTTAAGTCAATTGTCTGGATGAAATGTGTAAATCCCCATATAACAGACATTTATCTCTTTCCAGACTTTTCAGTGCTCTGTGCGAGATGAAAGCATGCAAATGGATAATCTTTTCTGGAGATGATTCCATATTTTTACTCCACTAGGAATAATTTCCTGAGGTGTGGTGTTCAGCTGTGCACACACAGTGTAAACAATATGGGATGCAAGTACTTGGTGAGTGTTTCCACTGGGAAGCCATGAGTGGTGAGGATCAGATAGACATCCTAGTTAGAAAATGGGATCTTTTTCCAGCATTCCCATCAAGGTTCTACAGGTCCCATTTCTGTGCTTAGAGTTTTGGCTCTGACAAGAATGGGAGTATTTAGTGATAGCCTGCAGGAAATGTTCTGTGTATGCTTTAGTGAGTATGTATTCTTCTGGGTATATACTTCTCCCTCCTGACCCCAGCTTCTCTCTTTTTATCTTTTCAGGATGGGCTGTATTTTTTCAAAGTTTAGTGCTTGCTTATGTTTTCATTGCTCCCTAAATGGCACAACTGAAGTATTACAGGCTGGTCATCAAAGCACTTTTAAAAAGGGAATTGTCAGAAATTCGTGTGCATGAGCTGTATGTCTTTGCAAAGCAATTTTCATAGATCATCAGAGCAAAATATGATTTGCTTCGACAGTAGTCCCATCATAAGCTTTTACCTTCAAGAATTCAACCTCCTACTTTTACAGCCTATTCAAAATCCCTTTGGAGATTTTAAACACAGAATGTTAGGATGCTGGTTAACAGCATATAAACCTGAGTGCTGACCTACCCATGTGCTAATAATAAGTCATGAGTCTGCTTTTTAAGAAACTCTGTCACAAATGGTGGTTGAAAAAATAAATGAAGAACTGAATTCCTACAGATAAGACCATCCAGATGGGACTGCTGGGGGATAGGTTAATGAGTTGGCCCTGCAGCCTTGACAGTGTTCCTTCAAAAAAGGAGCACATGTTGTTCAGACAAGCCTATGGCCTCTTTTTTCCAAAGGTGAAATTTACCGTGGAGCAAAGGGCCAGTGAAAGGTCTCTGCCTCAGGCTCATATGAGGCTTGACTGCTAGGTAAGGTTTGTGCTAGCAAACTTCATTTTTAGGGGGTAAATTAGCTCTTTTGGTGAGTTTCTGAATAGCAACCAAGCCTATGTGTGAAAGTTTTCACAAGGATTGAATGGCATTGATTTCTAGCTTTGTTTCTTTTGTTTTATCACTATAGTAATTAGTTCCATTTTTCCATACTAATCAGTTCAGTATTTTCTGTAAGGACTTTTTGTACTGCAGAAATTATTTCTATTTGCATGGAATGTTGGATTTAGTTAAAATAGGAAATGATGGTTCTGGTCAGTGGACACAATAGATATGAGGTACCCATGTTTTTTGGGGGGAGATGTGTCTGAAGTGTAATACAATAAAAACAACAGCAATCTATAGTTATTAATTGCATTGCAATAGCATTTTGATTTCCAGGGGTATGAGGTGACTATTGCTTTATACCCAGAGCAAAATCATAACATGGATGACAACTGAACTCCTTGGTCCCGGGATTTCCTTCCTCTTTTGGCTGATGGACAATTTACGGGGTTAGTTCCTTGATTTCCAGTGTCTCAAGAGTGCATTAGAGTTTCACAGCAGGAGATTTGTAAAAGGGAAGGGGATGGTGTACAGGGAATTAAAAGGTCTGTAAAACTAGAGGCGCTCTCTCCTGTGAGGAGTGATCTTGTCTAAATCAATAAACGTCCATGGTCTGTGTTTTTCAGCTGTGATTATTAGGACTGTGTGTTCAGTCAATGCATTCTGAGCAGAGCTAAAGTTGGCTTAATAGCACCAAAAATGTATTTACAGCTATTTGTCCAAATTCTGAATAACTGTTCCTTTTGTTCTCTATCCTTTGCTGTTCCCAAACTATAATGCAAACAAATTTTGGCTCTGAAACCAGTGCTTAACTCCAGGCGTATGACCACTCCAGTTAACATTTGTAAGAATTTCCACAGGCTTAAAGGTAAGCACATGCTTAAGTGGTTTGCTAACTCTGTTTTATTTTTCATTGAAGTATTTAAGAAAACACATTTTAATGACTGTGCCATGTGAGATAAAAGATATTCCTGAATAAAGAACATAATTGTCATTTATTTTGCATTATCCTTCGTTCAACAATACATGGTCTTTTGCTGGACTGTTTGCCTTGAATCAAAAAACAGTGGAGCATCAAGAATAAGTTGCACTCAGATACAATGAGTAGTTAAAGCCAATCACAGAGCAAAAAATGTAAAAGTGTAAGATGTGTTTTACAGAAGTACTATTTGAACACTTGAAAAAGTGGGATATAGGTAAAGAATAAGGAAGCAGGAAATAAATGGCCACATGTATGTTTCTACTGCAGCAGGGCATTTTTTACTGCAGCATAACTGGAGGCTGCTAAGTCTTACCCTGCAAAATCCTTCATGCATTGTAGGTTTCTATCACACAGTAGCTCATTGCAGTCATCTCTCTTCCATTCAGCAGTGACTTACTTTACCTACTCTGACCTCTTAGAAGGACTGCAGTGCTAATTTTCTGCTTTTAATAACATAAAATTAAGCAACTTTAAGAAACTGACATGGGAAAAACAAAGATTGGTTGTGAAGGGAAAACCCATCTTCATTTACACTGTTTACTTAAATCAGTTCTAATTCTAGGGCAGCAGCTAGGAAAATTAAATGCATAGGTATTAGATAAAAGAAGCAGAGCAGCTGACTTCTTAAAAGTAAGAACATGAAACAGAAAACCAGCTAGCTTGTTATGAGCAGGACATGTTGTTTATGATCTGCTCAGTTACATTTTCTGCTGATCCATCTGCTGGTGGAAATCCTTTGCCATCCCTTGAAGACTAAAGTATCATTCTGGAGATAGAGGCAGGATTCAAGTAGTACCATTCTCCCCAGATATCTTCTGATGAGGTGTCAGCTTCCTTTTGGCAGAGTCCATAGGAAAGATAACGGACTGTGGTTACAGGCACAAAGGGCTTTTATGACAAGGTGAGAAAGAGAAAGTTTCAGATTAGCAGGAATTTGTATCTTTATTGTGCTTTTAACTTCAGTTTCAAATCTTAAAACAGATTTTCACTGGTGCGTGAACTCAGTGAACTCATGTCCTATTGCATTTTAATTTCATCATGCTGACTCTCTGACTTCAAAGCCTGCTCCTGGTCTAGAGAGAAGTTCACAATCCACTTCATTTGGCTACAGCAACATGTACAGTTTGTTGTGTGCAGTCACAAAAGAGAGAGAACTCTTGAAAAAAACTCAGTGAAGAATAATAAAAGCTACTATACATTGTGAAAGATGTGCTGTGTTTGTACCTGGATAATGAATAATCTTAGCTATGTCTTACTGCTGAGGTAAGGAATACTAATTTTTAAGGAAGCAAATAGAAGCCTCAGAGGGCGATGGCTGAAAGAAAAAATAATGAAATCACTAAAACAAACATTGAAAGCCTATAGGAGGTATTTCTTCTCTCTTACTCTCTTCCATGTTTATCTTCTCCTGTTTTGTTCCTTCAGTAAGTTTTTAGATTTGCAATTCTCTTTCCTGCAAATTCAAGTTTGGGAGTTTTAAAATTGTGACCTGTCGAAATTCACTCCAAGTCCAAGGGATAGATCACATTTCATATAATTGTTAGGACTGGCTGTCGGTTCAGATGGAAATATAATAAGTGCAGCACTATCTCATCACTTAAGAATCACGCTCAAGCAAGTTTGTGTGGCCATCCTTTGAGATAAAACTCACTGATGTGTGAATTCAATTATTTCACAGATGTAAAACTTTCCAAATCACTCCCAAGTTCCTGTGGTGTAGGTGTACCCATATATCCTATATTGCTTCGGAGAGCATTGACTGTACTTTGACTGTGGAAAATGAGAAAAAAGAACTAAAATTTGTTTCACTGGAAAAAGATATATAGGGTGGATCTGGTGACAATTCAGGAGGGTAGATTTCAAATTCCTCTGCTATGGGTTATTGAAAGAATCCACATAGCTTGCAGAAATTGTGTGATCACTATCACAGTACTGGAATGTCAGTGCAGAATTCAACAAAGAATATTAAGGAGAGAACTTCAGCTTTTGGCCTGAACATCCCTCAGGAATGATAAGAAACTGAGGTTACTGCGATCTTCAGTAGAAACTGGATGGGTTCAAGTACACAGCCTAATTCAGGCAATATGCAATTGCAAAAATCATTCTTGTATGCATTTGCACTTACAGCATTTACTGCGCAGTAGCAATGATTTGGCCATTAGTGGGACAGCAGCTACAATGGGGCAAGTAGTAGCCAATACTGAGCATATCTGAACTCTGTTTCTGGATATGTGTGTCCAGATCAGTCCTTGGGCCCATTTCCATGAGAATCTGCAAAGGTAAAGTACTGATCCAGTGCTGAAAATGCCAAGAGAACTGCTGAGCACTCAGAAGTTTGGCAGGACAGGGTATTTAGAAACATAAGAGTAGTGCCTAAATGTGGGGGCTTACTTCAGAAGTCTTTACTTGGCAAAGAAAATATCAGCTCCTTGGGAATTTTGCATGATGTGAAGGCTTGCTAATAGGCCTCTGGCTATTTTTTTGTTTATTTACTCAAAAGCAATTTGTTTATTTCTGCTATATCTTACTGTATATCATTATTATTCAATGGCAGGTGATTATATAGACAGTCCTATGGTGGTATAAATCACGTGTCCGGTTTTGTGTTTTCACTTGCATTATCTGAATTTCTCAAGCTCGCTTTTTTTTTAATGTACTACGTGCAAGCCTCTCCTCTCATATCTGCAAAAGGAGATTTATTTGGCAGTAAAAACGTCCACTTAAATTGAAAGTTCCGTTATTTACTTTATAGAAGTGAGTAACCTTCAATAAATCAGTCTTTTTTTCCTCTTTTCTATTACTATTTATTGTTTACATTGCATTAACAGGCATGTCTTCCTTCTGTAAAACCTTCCATTTTAATCCACTGAAGTGGAGAAAACGTGATGTTGAAATACAGTTGAAGCAAAGCAGCAGCTGAACCTCTGCATTTATTCTGCACTGATGGGTGAGGGGCTGCTCAGAAATTGCCATTGTTTGCTTGCTTTTGAGGAGAGAATTACTTCTTTAAAGGGATACTCAGTGCCCAGAAGAGGAGGATGGCAGTCTCTGAGAGGGACATATTGCTGCTGCTGTTCAAGGTGGAATGGCAGCAAGCAGACTGCGTGCTGCAGTAAAAGTCCTGCATAAACCTCTGAGACAGCTCAGAATACCATGTGCAAGAATTCAGGTGCCCATCTGTAACCCTGAACACCTACATGTTTTAAAAGCACGACTCAAGAGTCTTCTGGGAGGAGGATTTAGGCCCTTGGTCACAGCTGTATACCCTGAACTTTGTAATGCTCTGGTTTGGTGCAGGGAGGAGCAATCACATGTACTGACCAAGGAACTGTTGCTCTTTGGTAATGTTTCTTCAGGTTAAGCATTATAATGCTTATCATGATGTATATGATGTGAAGTTCCTCTTTCTCCATCATTTCAGATTCCCTTGGTAGTGGGATGTAAATTACATCAATTTTGTGTGCCTGTTAATTTCTACATTGGAGAAGGTGACTCTGCTTACACACGTCCAATTTAAGTGCATTCATATTTAACTTTGTTGATGTCTCAAGTGGCTGCTCCATGGTCTTTGGGAGATGTTTCAGCTCTTTGTCTAAGCTTGTTTACTGCTTATAGTGCTGAAAATCCAATCCAAGCAGCCTGGTGATTAAAGAAGCTCGACTAAATATCATCTAAAGAAAAACAGGACAATGCTGTACAAATGTTTGCAAAATGTACTACTCTGCTGGCATGCTGTGATGCACACTGTGTCACGTGGCAAGAATCATCAGTCTGCTTCCTCAGCTTTCCCTTCTGTTGAAACTGCTTTAAACTCAGATGTTATTTCTGTCTTTATTTTTGGCAGCAGGGAGAGCAAGTTTAAGTTCTGAAAGGCTGGCAATGAGGGATAGAGAACTTCCTGGTGAAGGGGTCAGAAAGGACAGGCTAGCTGAGAGCAGTCAGGACTGTAAATGTATTCCTCTTCCCTCTCCTCATAGGGCAGATGAAGGCAAAATCCTTCATGGAGTCCAGAGATCCCTTCCCCATGCTTTCATCTCACCCTCCCTGTAAGCTTCATATCAAAACCAGCCTCTTCCTGCTGGAGGACAACTGGATGCGATTCCTTTTAGAGGCTGTCAGTGCTTCTCCCATACTTGGAGAATGCTGTTGAGTGACATGAAACGCTTTTTCTTTGGACAGGATTAGTGAACCTTCTTTCCGTGCTGCCCTGCTTCCCCTCCTGCCTCCATTAGCCCTACTATGTGGCCAGAGCTGGATGGTTGGATACCAAAATAGCAGTGGATCATTTCTTCCATGTTTGCTTCTGACCGAGGAGCTTTGTTATTAGAGGAAACTCACACTTTTTGAAGAGAAAATTGACCCATTTTTTGGGACAAGATCAGGAATTGTTGTGTCTATGTATATTTATCTATGCTTCTCTATTTATAATGGTGGAATCACAGGGGCTGTCCTGCACTATGTCCAGTCCGTGGTCCTTCCACATGAATTCCCTGGCTGCAATCTCATTGGGCATTATGTAAGTGAGGAGAAGAAAACGAAAACGAAGCTAGAGAAAGTCTAGCCTCTCCCAGTGGAAGTGCCATGGATGAGTTCTAATAGGTGAAACTTTCACCTCTCTGTAAAGACATATGATAACATCTTGCAAATGGGACTCTCAAAATTAGGAATTTAATCCTGCACGCTCACTTTCACTCCCTGAATAAGTGTAAGATGGACAGACAACTGTGTTCTAGGCAGTGGTGAGTGATTAGTCCAGCAATTTGATGGAGTGAATCAAGAAATCAGTACTAACTTGCTTCCCCTGTGCCACAGTTGATGTGTGGTTATTGCCCACCTCTCAATGGTTACCTTGACCAGTGTGTACTCGCCACTGTTATTTGGCTACACTGGGTTACTGAAGCAAGCGTTATCTTCCACTCTACTACTTTCCCCTCAGCCCAAAGTTGCTGTGACTTTTTGAATGAATGTCTTGCCTGTGGTTCTGTTAATATATGCTGACTAAAGCATCGTGCTTGCCAGACCTTCAGAGACCTTGTCTTGCATTTAAATGTATACTGCTCTTATTGCCAGAACACAGATGTAAATATGCATGAAAAAATATGCTTATTACGTGGCTACATAAAATAACTAGAAGCAGCGCAATTTTTTTTCATTGAATATGTAGTTGGGTTAGGATGTATTCAGCCAAGTATGTATTTATTCAGTATGAAGTATGTATATTGGAATCAATGTAGGGTTTACTTATGCTTCAGTTGAATCTGGCCCTGCAAATTTGCAATATTATGTTACTACATTACAATATGCTGTCATGTTCAAGCCTTTGAATTTATTAAGCAGGATGTAATATGCCAAATATTTACAAATTACTCTTTGTTTTGGTACTGGATGTTGGCAGTATTATTATTAACATAGTAAGCCAAATGATCCTTGCATTAGATTTTCCATGCTATTTTCCAAGCAGATGTCAATGAAAGAAACTAATCCCACTTTATCTCAAATTTTTGCACTTTCAGATGGTTATTCAATCCATGAATTATGGGATAGTCTGTATCCACATTATCCCAAGAGAATCCTTCTGAAAGAATGTGACCTCTTTGCTCTTGTAGGTGAGAGGAAAGTTTTCTTCCAGCTTTATGGAAGTTCTGCTTCCATATGCTGCCAACTCTATTAATCTTTTTGCCAAGAGAAAAAAACTATTCTGTCCTTTTCCACCTTTAATTTATCCTGTTTAGGTTTATTTCTTGTGAAGAGAACTCATTTCTCCTCTAAAGAGGCAGTCTTTTCTTGTAACAGCCACTTCAGCACTATGATCTTACCATGGCTTGACCTTTTTGGAAACACTGAAATGTGAAAAAGGGCACTTGGATCCCATGGTGATGAGCAGATTTAAAAGCGCTTTGGTAGATCAAAAAGGCTGAGTTGCTGAGTTTTGTGGCTTCTGTTTGGATTTTTTGTTTCATTTAACCTGTAGTGTCAACACAGCCAAAACTCTGCAAGGCAAACCAGACAGAAAAAGCCAGTTAGGAAATGACCTGAAACTGTTGTTGGCACCACACTTAAAAAGCGAGCTTTTTTTATTGTCTGCAAAGCGTAGTGTAGATCGCTATCCTTGTGTTATTAACTGGTGCAATGCTGAAGATTCCTCTGACAGTGGTATTTCACATAGAAAAAAAATCCAAGAAAACTCTCACTTTAGGCCTGAGGTTTTGATCTTTTTTATGGCAGGAATTTTTTCCTCTTCTGATTTTGAAGCCAGAGAAAAATTGTATCACAGGGCCTGACTCTTTCATCAGACGCTTCCAATCAACTATACAGCATGTGCAAAGGACTTCAGAAGTGCTTCAGAGAGTCCTGATTATTTTCCTAACACATTTACTATTTTTCAAATGAACATCACTAAGAAAAGAAAAAATTGGTATCTTCATTGCTGACAGAAAAACTGCATAATTTCTTGATTCTGGGAAGGGGAAAAGAGGGAAAAAAATAATACGAGCGAATTGGTTGTCTGCTATGCAACAGTTACATCATTAGGAAAAAAAAAAAAGAATGAGAAAGACAAAGGCAATACAAATCCACAACAGAAACAACATTTAGAATGCCCTCCCTTGACCTTTATTATCAAGGCACGAAGTATATGTTTCTCAATGTCCAATTCTTGCTAAACTTAATCTATACACTGTCTACCATATTCCCCCCCAGGGAATGCAATGCCAAACGAACACAAGGTGTTCTCACATTAAAATGTTCTATCAGGGTCGCTGTGGGCTGCAGAGGATATTAAGTCAGCCAGTCCCCTTGCTGCTCTATCCTGGAAAAGAGGCCAAAGTTCAACAGTTTCATTAATTCATTCAGGAAGAGAGGAAAGTAAAAACAAACCAAGTATTTGTTTTCATTGATTGCCCAGGCTTCATTGATTGTCCAGACAACCAACTCACTTGGTCGTCTTTCCCTTTTTCCCACTATTCCACTTCCCAAAATCAAGCAATTGTGGACCTTTGTTGTGTGAAATAAAGATACTGATGATACTTAAATCATTCCATCATGTTCTAGCATATGCTGAATGAAGTTCAATATTAGCCTTAAACTGCCTTTGCATCATTAATCTAATTTTATCAGACTGATGATAAATGTTAAGCATGGACTATTTATTGTGCTTCCTTATCCTCTGAAACCAGATTCATTTTCTTTCCCTAATAGTGACTGAACAAAGAATATGTTTCAAGCATGCTAGCTGGTTCGCAGAGCTATGGAATAGCTCCTTCTCTCTCTGAAAATGCAACTTCACATAGCACACAGCAATTAAACATTTGGGAAATCTGAGAAACCCTGTGGTCACAGGAGATGCAATCCTACATTGACTACAAAACTCCTTGCCAGATTAAATAAAAATAGCTATTAATTTCACCATGTTAGGAGCTAAAGAGTGCATATTGGAGCCAAACTCAAAAGCCATCCATTAGTACAGGCTTTCCACCAAATGTAAATGCAATCATGCTGTCAAATAGTGAAAACAGAGGCAGCCATCTTAATAAAAAACATCGCTGTTGCACTTTTACAATCCAAAGAAAAGCTTAGGCTGATGGGTACAAATTTGAGAACTTCATTGGATGCTCAGAAATTCTATCTGTAGTTCACCCTTAAAAAAGGATGAAACTTAAAGTGAGAAAGCTGAAGAAAGGCAAGAATGGCTGGACCAGAAATATGGAAGATAGGAATAGATTACCTTGGTTAACTTGATAGTTCAGGAGTTCATGAGAAGTTTGTGACTGCGGTTCATTGTTTTTCTTCTGCAGAGCAATTTCCCCTGTCCTCTTTTGCCTCTTTCATGTTATTTATTTTCGAGTAACACTGACCTTACGCATTGAAAATAGAAGGAGTTTCCTCCTCAAAGAAGGACCATGTGAAAAAGATTTTTCTTGTGTATGCATTCATGTTTTAGAAATATATTTTCTTACAGGTTTCTGTGGCTCATGCATAAAACTGGATTTTGTAGTTTAGGTATATGCTTCAAAAAGTACTTAAGTATCTCAAAAGTGATTCCCAGCCTTTCAGTATGATCTGAATTAATCTTTATGTCAGATCTGAAAATAGAGCTGAAACTCGTAAATCACTTGGGTGCTCTTGAAATTTATGGTAAATCTTGAATGCAATTTCTTTCCTCTGTGTTGTTTATAATGATAATCTAATGTTTGGCTGCAGAACAACAGGGAGTTGTGAGATGCTCATTTCCTGAGCTGCATCTTTTTGTTTTCATAACAAGTCTTTATCTAGCATTAACAAGCACTGCAGACTATCTCTTGATTAGATTCTGCACGTTTCCTGCCACTTGCATGAAAGAGAAATGTAACCTTAAAATCAGAGCCAATATAAATATTTTTTTCATGGAGAGATGTAGCAACTGGCATTTTGCTTCAGAAAATTCACACTTAAAAAAACTCTCATATTTTCCTCCATTTTCAGCCTGTCTTGAGAAATCATTTTGAGTGTCACTTACATAGCTGATACCTGGTTACAGATAATCCTTGAATGTTAGATGCTACAAAGAAGACAGGGTTAACCTAGACACAACCACCCCAGTGTTCTGGTGTGGAAACTAGAAGCCTACCTGTGGCATCTTATCTCTTGACACTTAAGGAAATGAAAATGGAAATAACTTTCTTCTTGAACAATGCAATTCATCTTCCTGCATGTAAAGCTGCATCTTGCCAGCAAATCAGTTGTTTAAATTTAATTCAAAAGCATATGGAAATAATTCATTATAGAATAATCAACACTGACCTATTGACATTTAAACAAAAATAGGAGCTATGGGCAGAAGACTGATAGAAACACATTATTTTCCAAGTCATTCATATTCAGGTCTTTAATTTCATGTCCTATTGTTCTGATATTGTGCTTTGAGGTCCAGGCACTGCTGAGGAAGCTGTGGATTTAGCACTGTAGGAAATTATTGCAGAATCATCATCATAAAAAAATGGTTAAAATTTTGGAAGTGAGATTGGGATGATGTGTTCTTAGGACTAGGAGAAAATCTGCCCCAGGATAACCTGTGTGCATTGCATACTTGCCTGGAAAGTGTGAGTTCCCACCTTGGTTTTTTTTTTTTTGTTTTTTTTTTTGTTTTGTTTTTTTGTTTTTTTTTTACTTTCTGTACATTAATTGCTATGGAGAAAACTTAGAAAAGCCTTTAAATTACATTCAAAATAAATAATAATTCTTCCCACCTCCACATCCCATAATTCCTGGATGTAATTGCAAATTTGTTAGACTAACTATGTAGGGCCAATCCTTTCCTCTTAGGTATTGTAGCACAAATCTGGACAGGCATCAGCTGTATGAAGTTACTCTGAAAATCTCAACAACTAGTCCAGAAGGGCAGTGTGGATATTTCTGGAAAGTCTAAATTAGAAAATGTCAATGATAATATCAAAGCCAAAAGAAAATAGAATTGGAGTCTAAGGGAGAAGTTTGCACTATAGGCATAGTTTAGGGGAAGAGGCCAGCCGAGATAGTCAAGGCTGAAGATTGTCACCATGGGATATGCCCCTGAGAGGTTCAGCCAAAGGACTTGAACACTGGATGGTTTTCAGGTTTTTTTCTCAACCAGTGTAAGATTAATTTATAGTTCTTGGGCAGGGGGGAAGCTGGGGGATGGGGTCAAATTGGTGGCAAGCTGCCAAAATCTGCTTAACTTCTTTATCAAAAGAAAAATAAACTTTCATCTGCTTTTCTGATGTCTTTGTGTGTGAAAATGGGTGTGTTACAAACTGAATGCAAACGCTGCTCCGCAGCAACGAATTTCAAATTCTTAAAGTTTACGAGACATTATTAAACCTGTAGTTGTGGCGGTATGTTAACAATTGCTGAGTTTCACTAGTTTTGCTTGAGTTGACTTAAAAAATAATGAAAAATCTCAGTGAACTGTTGGTGCTGTTGGTTTCCAGTGGTCAGTGTTCAATTGCTGCTCGCATTTCTCTGCTGATTGTTTTGATTTGCTTCTCAAAGGCCAGCATATAATTCACTCAATCTGGTCTCTGAATCTGATTACAGTTTTTATAGTGCCATCTCACAGTTTCAGTCCTTACAGTATTTTTTGATTGGTGTTTTCTATTGTGATTTTTCAGTGAGATGTGCCAGCTTTGAAAGACCTATTTTTTCCCCTTCTTCTCTCTGATTGTTCTGAAAACACAATTCTTCAAGAATGCCAAAGCTCCCAAAATATTCAAACTTGTTCCTTGGTATCCATATTAATCATGAGCGTAATAAATTCCCTAGTTATTAAATTTCCCTGACACTTCTCTCAATTTTATTGTTGGTTGTTTTTTTGGTGTTTTTTTTTTTTTTTTTTTGCAAAACTCTTTTAAATAAGCCCCTTTTTTTTTTTTTTTTTTTTTGTATGTTTAGCTTTGCCAGATTTTAACTGTTAGGTTTAAAGTTTATCTGCATGACGAAGACTGCATCTGTTTGGGCAAAAGTACACTGACACAGTGTAACATTTTTCAGAGTAATGCAAAGGTAAAAAAACAAAACAAATCAAAAACCAAAGAACAAAACTGACATTTTCATTTATAGTCTAAGTGCAAAATGAAAAAAAAAAAAAAAGTATTTGTAGCTACACACTTAGAATTTGAATTAGAGACCTGAGAAACCTGAGAAAGTCACAGGATTGAGAGTTGGGACATAAATATGCCTTTTTTACATCCACCCTAGAAATCTTCTCACATGATGAAATTATCATTTTTTTTTTTTTCTGTTTCAGAAATCCAAATTTAAATTTTTGGGGGGATACATTTTATCTTGTGAATAAACCGGATAAAGCATTGATATTGCTCAGACGTTGAAAATTTCAGATTTGCCCAGCTATTACAAAGATAATTTCCTTATTGATAATATGTTCTAAAATGCTTTTGGGTACCCTATTATGAAGCTGTTACATATTTCACTGAAAATGTCAAGAAGTCAATTCTCTACTTCCTTTTTTGGACAGCTTAAAGTAAGCATTGTTAAAACCAACAGCAACAAAAAAATCAATTGTCATACATACAATGGGAAGAGAAAGTGAAGACAACTCTGTTGAGTTACTAATGGACGTAGTGAAATTCAGTGTTGAAGCCATGCGGCTGGAGATCATGCCATGAAATGAATGCACTGAAAAGGCTGAATAAAAACACTTCAATTGTACAGGTAAGGATTTTCTTAAATGTTAGTTCATCCAATTCCATCTTTGGGAACTTTACTTAATTTATTGCCAGTTAACACAGCATTTTGATTACTGATTTAGGTAGTAAATAGCAAAAACAAACAAACAAAAAAATACAGACGTTCTTAAGGAAGCATCTTTTATCCTCTTTCTCCAGACCTGGCTTGAGTCTGGCATTTCTTCTCTTCCTTCCTGCTCTTAGGCCCACAAGCCTTGCAGACCCCTCAGGGAGGTGGTGCCACAGCAAGCTGGGGACATCAGCCTAAGAGCTTCCAGCTGCTCCTCACTTGTTTTCCTCTGCCTTAGGGTGGCTCACCCATTGCTTCATCCTTCAGGACAGGCAGCACTCAGGCTCAGCTGTGAAACAGTGGGCCGTCTCCACAGGTGCAGATTGTTACAAGTGTGGCATGCAGGTCCTTGTTTGCTGTTGTTGAAAATGCACAGTTAATGACAGTGACTGTGTTGAAAAAGAGTGTTTTGTAGCTGAGAATTTTTTTCTACCATACAGCTCTTTGTATCTGTTGTAGTTTCTATGGAAATAAATAAAAGGCATTACTTTTGGAGCAATCTACGTGGATGGGCTTGTTATTTGAAACTGGATCAAGCTTAACCAAGATGTTTTTGTGCATCAGCAGCTTGTGTCATGTGGACAGGCTGAGACACATCATGCTCAGGTGAGTGCTAACGAAGCTTGTCTTGATGCAGTGTTTTTGAAAAATCTGCAGACAGTTTCTCATGAAAGATCATCTGAAGGCGTTTCATTGTAAGAACTGAAGTTGTGGCTTGGTGATTGCAATCCTTCTTGGTGCCAACAATCTCTTGAGTTGGCATGAGGTGAGTGAGAGCAAAGAACACATTCAGGTGTGGTGCATTAGGTACAGAGCTAATTAACTAGTAGCTTTTATTTTAAGCTACTTTATGAAATTTCACTTTATTAATTGCTTGATGAAGATAAGGGCTGCATGAACAGAGGTGAATGTTATATTTTCATTCAGCAACTTATTTTGTTATGTTAGTTTTAAAAATGGTTTGAAAGAAAATGGTATTCCATTCTATATTTGAACTGCAATCAACTCTCTTTGTGCACAATAGCAATTGATAGGAATGAGTTATTCCAGCAAGATATAAAGATAGAATATGTTATTTAAAAACCATGCTTGTCAGATAAAAGGGGGAATAATTTATTAGGATTATATGTTACTGTACCTATGGAAAAAAATACATGAAGAATACAAGCAGTGAAAAGTATTGGGTGAAAAAATACTGTTGAGAGAGCACATCTGTTTCAAATTCTTATTTGGGGAAAAAAAAATAAAATCCCCACATCTGTTTTTATTTTAAATTTGCATGTGTGTTGTTATCCTTGTGTTAATTATCAGGTAAATAAAATTACTGAGAATACATTTTTCGGTGAAGTCTGGTTTGGAATATTTGTACACATTATAAGAGAGATAATTTGAAAGCTAATTGAAGCTTTGTGAGGAACCAATTCTCTACTGATCCCTTAATTTAATATACCTGCCTTTTGTGTACTAATATAACCAAAAGCACTTATTTATTTTGGAAATGAAATAATTTTAGCACTCAGTTTGCATTTTTGACATGCCTTGCTGGCGTACAGCATAGCACGGAAGTATGTCACAGGCTTTGCTCTAGCCTAGCAAACACAACTGTAGTGAGAACTGAATCGTGGAGGAAAAGACATTTGGTTTTGTTTAAGAGAGTACACGTATCCAGCCACATTCAGTTTAGATAGCTATTTTTGATACACTCTTGTAAAGTTAATAATCTATCTACTGAGCATATGGAGGGAGCTCACACCCAACCCAGCCATTTGGGTATCAGCAGGAGTGAAATCAGTGGTAAAAACCCCATCAGCTTTCTGCAGTGGATTTTATCTCACAACCATTGCATGGACCTCCCAGTTTCAGTCTGCTTTTTTTTTATTAACGCGGTGAAAGGATATTTGTTTTATTTTTGGTTGCAAGGCCCTGATATTGTGTAAGCATCTAGATCCAGTCCTTTCTGCTTTTATCACCAAAGGGTCACTCAAGGAGGACAGGGCAATTTTATCTAACCAGGATAGAATCAAGCTGGTACTTCTGAAATGATCCCCATGCAGTGGGTGATGTAAGCCCACTTGATGTGAACTAGGAGAGCCCATGGGTGAGAAGGGATTTTTGCTTTGTGTTGCAGGGGCTAGAAATGTGTTGGGGTTCTGGGCTTCAGATGAAGATAACTTTATGGACTCATCATGCTTCTTTCTCCAGCACAGAAAAGTCAGTGATTCAATATTGTTTTCTCTGCCGCTTTATTGGTCCAAAAAATAGTTATAAAGAAGAGCAGTAGAGTCATTAGAGAACTCGATTAAGACCACGGCTGTGCTGTGCCTCCAGCTGCTTCTGGACTAAAGTTTTCTCTCCAAGATTTCTGTCCTCTGCAGAGACGAAGGAGGCTAAAAATGAAATCCCTGTCTGTAGCTGTTGCCAAATAGGCAGGGCTTCAGTGTTTGGAGAGCCCCTCTTGGGAGACTGGGAATGGTTTGATGTAGAAAGATTTATGGGCACTTAAAACTTATAATGAAACTGTTATCATTGCTCTCTCTCCTCTTTCTAAATCATATAAAATCAGGTGGTATGCGCTCACAGTAGTATTAATAACTGTCAAGTCAGGTATAAAGCAAAAATATTCCTGACTTATATAGAAATTAGAGCTGAAGCTGAAAACTGCCGGTGCAGAAGTGTTTTTTGTGTTGTCTCCAACAGTAAGGTGCTGCTCTTGCAAATCCCTCACTGTAAGAAGACCTCTTGCCAAGTCTCGTTAACTTCAGCAAGCGCTTCACGAGCACTTGGGGATTCTGCCATTCCCAGCAATTTATGTGACTGAGGCCCGGCTGGAGAAAGAGCATTTGTGCTGCAGGGCAAGGAGGGAAGGGGGAGACAGAAAGGTGGTAATGCTATCAGAGTCAGAAGAGGTCTCTGGGACTTAAAATCCAGATGAAGTACCTTCTCTGTTCTCCCCTCCCTCCAACCCAATGAGATAGGTGTTGTTGGAGACTTGTCACTAGGGCGAGTTTCTTCTTTCACCCTCAGCAATGAGAGCTTTGCTGATGTGGTGATGTCTGAGTGTTTGTAATTAATAATAATTAAAAAAATGTTGTCTACAAGTTTGATTGAAAACAGGAGTGTATGTGATTCTGTGCATTCAAAGTTAATACACCATCCAGTTGCGCAGTATAATACAAATTTGTTTTGAATGATTTTGGGTTGCTCTCAGAGACTTGCTGTTTAAACTTCTTTTTTTTTTCCCTCCCCTCCTCCGGTGGCTAAACGCTTTTTCTCTTTCTTTCTTAAATCTCACTCTGTGCTCCACATGTATGAGCTCTCCTTTTGTAAACTTGTTAATTTTTATGTTTGGTGTAAACGGGAAGCGTGGAATCCAGGGCAATCAGCTTGAATCCATGGGAAAACGTCCCTAAAATTAATTTATGGTGGATGAGATCGATGCTGAAAAGGCCGACTTGAATTATCTCATTACATTTGGAGAATGAAATTGAAGGTTTGACAGCACCAAAGGGAGGAGGGCACAGCCAGCCCCAGCTCTTGGCGATTGCCACTCACAGCTTTGTCCACGCAGCACTTTAATGACTGGTAATATGCTGCTCTTTGGCAACTCCTAAACAAAACCCTGAATTAATTTTGCACCCAGGGGAGAGTACAAATCATTGGTGCAATGCTGTTGATGGTGTTTATTTTTCAAGAGTTTTAGTAGAATAAATATGTGGTTCTGAATACAGGTGGAGGGAGGGGAGGAGGAGGGCAGGGGAAGGTTACTTAACAGAAGAAATAAGGTTGCCAGGGCAGGGACAGGGGGTGCTTCTTACTGCTGTGCCCAAGGCAGAATGGAGATTCTGGGTGCTGAAGGCCGGGTACTGCTTAACCTGTGGGGTAGCACGTGTTCATGGCAGGGAGCTCTCCTTCGTACAAAGTGACTGCTTAGTGCTCAGGGACTCTGGCTGGTAACAAAAGGGCAGCAACACGCTCATTTCTCTTTGGCATCAGAATAATCTTTAAGCTTTTAAAATGGCATGATTTCTCTTTCTATGCTGTTACTGAATCAGATCAAGGATAAAGTAGAATAGATACTTTTTTTCTGTCACCTTTAAGGTCAGAATAGTTTTCAAGCACATTATTGTGAGAACTATCATGAGCAGAAGCAATAACTGCTGCCCTTTCTCATCTGACTAATGAAGTGAGTTCACACACAATTTCATTTGACCTGAATTTGAAAATTTGCTTAGCTACAAAAATGTTAAGAATTTCCATGTCTGAAGGATGACTATATGAATGGAGCTCCTCTCTCATGCTTACTGTAGTGATGTGTGTACATATATATATATATGTATTAGTATTGCTACTTTTGTTGGGGGTGTAAAGAAATGTAAGAGCTCCTGAAAATATTTTTCCATTTTCAGCAAAGAGAATTGTGTTTCTGGATTAGAGAATGCTGTTGCTGTGTGTCTTTGCATGTGATCTGTGCACTTTGGATCCATCACAAGAAAAATCAAGGCTTTGGCATGTAATTAAGAATGACGGAAACCTACCTCCTTTGTCACCAAAATCCAGTTTGGAGAAAGGAAATAAAAAAAAAAAAAAAAAGTCTATTTTTATTGTTCAGCCAAATGTCAAAAACAAAGGCATACATAACTGCTGAGCACTTTGTCACATTTCAGACAGTGATTCCATATAGTTCTGTTGGCCATGCAAATGGCATTTCCATATGCAAACATGGGGATTTGTACAGCCACTTTGGCATTTACAAGCATCCAACGTGCTCATGTTGATGGCTGTGCAATGGTACATAGACTTTGGCCATGGAAATGCTGTCAGTAAAGTGCAAAACCATAGATATATGCATAAGCACATTCCCTGCTTATTAGCAACCTGCTATAAAGCCCTGCTGACATAGCTATTGGTTGTGTGTAATCATTGTGCGCGTTTTTAACTATCACATTAAGATTCTCAGTTTCTTGTAAAATCAGTCACTACAATATTTTCTTTTTTTATTAATACCTGTGTGTATGAGGTGTCTGACAGAGTTATTATCCACTTTGGTGATGAAAAGCTCCTGCTGAGGTCCGGGAGAACAGGATTGCAAAGACCAGCATGATGTCTGTCTTATAAAGCGCTCATTCTTCTGACTGACCATCTGTGTGTGAAAAAGAACTGCTATTACGCAGCAGTAGTTTTGTTGAGTTTGGCCTTGATTTCTTTTTTCCAGATTCTGCCCAGCAAAGAGGAGGGGAGAGGAGGGAAAGGAGAATTTCATTGGGGAGTGAAGGAGGTGGGGTGGAGAGAAGGAAGGCTGAAAGCTTAAAAGCAGAGTGACTAGTAGGAGAGTACAGTAAAGTCAGTGAATAATTTTACTGTCCTGGTCTAGCTGCTTGGGAATGTGCCATGTAAAACAATAACAACTTCCAAGTGAGAAAGGCAGAGGGGGAGGGGAAAGCAAGGGTGCAGACTGGGGACAGACTGGAGGCAAGAAAGGACTGGATCCTTGAGCATGGCCATTGCCAGTTCTTTTTTTTCCTCATTACATATTTGACACTGAGTCAATTCCTAGGATATAAAATCTGTGCTAGTCTGTTACCTTTGCTTGACAAACAGCATTACAGGTAGGCAGATGACTTCAGGTTTTACCCAGCTAAATCATTATTGCTTCTTTGGAGCCTTGTGGACCTCACTTTTTTAAAATTGTTGAATGACACAGGCAGAGATTTACAGGCAGGTCTCCAGGAAGGATGTAAGGCTGCCATGCAGCTTGGCCTGGGTCTTTTCTAAGTTTCTTTTTGTCTGCCTACAGAAGTGTTATCCAGGGCTTGTTGAAGGGTGCATAGGTTGAGAGCCAGGACTAAATGCACATCTGGGATTATGGCTTCTCGTTCAGCGTGCTGAACTGCTAGGAAAAATTAGGGTAACTGCGCATGTAATTATTGGGTGCCTTGGCAAGAAGTGTGCTGCTTTGGGGAGCCTTGGGTAAACCTACCTACAGAGCTGTTCCTGCCAGACTATTTTCCATGCCTCCTTAGCCACAGCGATATGTTGCAAGAGCACTGACCTTCAAGAGCACTATGCCATGAAAGACAGAGGAGGCTTTCAGGGCACGATGGCCCAGAACAGAGAGGCTGTCAGCCTGCTGCTGGAGAAGACTTCCTGTCCTGATGGGGATGGTGTATGGGGCTTGGGCAGAGGCCACCCGCAGCCTGGGTTTGGGCTCACATGAATACAATTTTTGTGGTATCTTTCAGACATCTGGTTTGGAGCAAATTGATGCTGTGACTGAATGTGGCCCGCAGTTCTTTGTTTAATTAGAAGTTAAACTCCAATAGGTCTGATCCACCATCTGGTGGGAAGATGCACTGTGTGTGTGCCTGTGCACATGTGTGGCGTGCCCCTCCTCTTCCCCAGCCTCAGCGCACCGGGACAGGGACACCAAGCTGCCGCTGCAGCCGCTGCGGGTTTTGTGCTTAAGCCTTTCTTTCATCAGTGGCTGCACAGACCCCATGAGACAAGTTCCTCTGGAACGTTGCAGCAAACATGAATTTCAGCTGCCAGTTTGACTGGTGGGTTTTTCTAGAGGGTGTGAAATTGTAGCAGGCTGTGGGCTTGCAGTGGAGGAGGAGGGGCAGGGCTGAAAACCTGAGAACACTGTTGGGGATATTGGATAATTTCAAGCATTTGAGCCACCGGTGAGAGAGGCAAGCCCCAGATTGACAGTGAACTGGTCTGGAGAAATAAAACCTAAACAAATAAACCAAAAAGCCAACCAAGAACAACAAAATGTGGAGAGTAGGAAGGGAAAGGGAAGAGGAAAGGCTGAGCTTTCTGCATGAGGTCTTTTCTTAAAGAGCTAACACGTGCCATAGCATCTTCTGAGACCCAGCAAGGAGTTACTTTCCTAGCTTACAACCCTTGTCAGTTAAGAGGTATTTCATGCTTTCATGGGAATAGATGTGGCAAGCCTCCAAGAAATGGGTGAAAATCATGTAGAAAACACTTCCCTATTTAATGAGAATATTGCAATGATGTAATAATAGAAGGGAAGGTAATCACAGGAGGGGAAAGTTACTGTCACAAATCCATTCTATGTTATTTAAATTATTCCTGATCTAAAAATGGGATAAGTAGTGAAAAGACAAGGTTTGCTAATGATACAAAACTATTCAGGAAACTCTAAAATCAAATCGACCGTGGGGATTTTTAGGCACTATTATGATGGCAAATAGCCAAATCTCTTTTCTAAGGTTATTTTCTAATTTCAGTAAAAGAAGAGTGAAGAAACTATTCCATGACTTGCAGAAAATCACTATTCCCACTGTGGGTAAAAGCAAATCAGGTGTCATCATGGCCTGTTGAAACAACGTCACCTAAAAAAACATTCAGGTAGAACACCAGGAATAGGTTGGAAGAGAATAGATTTAAGTCAAAGTACAAAGCATCATGCCATGGTGTAGTCACATCTCGTCTTTGTGCAACTCTGGAAACCTTTTTATTGAAAAATTCTAAAGGTTGTAAGAAAGCATGAAGAGATGGATTATTAGGATTCTGTGGAATGTTTTCTATGTGACAAAAAACTTGTTTGACTCCCTACACTGGAAAAGAGTGACTGCAGGTGAAAGATGATCATTACCTCTGAAAAGAGTGAAGGTGAATGAGGAAAGAGAGAGACTGTGAATGGATTGCTCAACATGCTATTTTTCACTCAACAAGAACTATGAACACTCAGTTCTCAGCCAGCTGATTTTATACAAGCAAAAGGATGTACAGTGAAGTCGTGGATTTTATTGCTTCTAAATGTTGTCCTGGACAAAAGCATAAGCAGGTTCAGAAAAGGATTAGATGAGTTCGAGGAGGATGAGTTCACAAGTAGCTGTTAAACATGGTGCAGATGCAACTTCTCATTCAAGATGTCTGTAAGCTGCTACCTTGCTTGTAGCTGGATGAGTATAGCAGAGAAAGAATTATTTTATGCACACTACTTTTTGTATGCTGTTATTAGACTGGACTACACAGACCTTCAACAGTGCTAAGATTTATGAATACTCTTTTTTTTTTTCTGCTTGCTAGCATAAGAAATGAAAGAATACTTGTCAGCCTGGTGTAAATTGTAAATTGCACAGTGCGGATAGGGGAAGCTGTTATGGGAGAGCTTCATGAGGTGTGCTGGGAGAAGAGTGCTCATGGCCAGGGTGCCCACACTCCTCTCCAAGCAGAGGGGATGATGGGCAGTACTAAAAGGCAACGTGCTCTTCATTTAGCACAGATCATCTGTCTTAGTCCCAAAGGTGATTGAAAACACATTTTTACAACAGAGAAAACGAATGGCCACGGTTAAATTGGTAGATGGGAATCTGCTCTGGGAAAGTGAACAAAGGCTGATCAGAGGGTCATGTTCTTGCTGATAGTGTGGTTACTGATGTTTTTTCCATATCAGTGTCAAAGAGGGAAACCAGCAGCTCATACACCAATGAGAGGCCTATCTGTTATGAATGTCAGCACTTTGTAAACTACTTCACTCTACTCCCTGTCTCTTCCCTTCGCTTCAAAGTCTGTGCCTTAATAAATAGTTTGGATGGAGAGGCATTCTCTGCAAGACAGAACTGTGCCATGTAGATGTACAATGAGTCTGATAACGATGAATAAGAAAGACTGAATGAGAGAAGGAAAAAGTGTGCATGTTCTTATCCAGACTTATAAGCTGATAACAAGAAATAGTTCACCAAAACACAATAAGAAATCCATTTGAGTATACTCTGACTTTAAGTGCAACTTAGTAAATTGTGCTTGGGTTCTGAAAGACTTAATTCATTTTAGATATTTTTTTCTTTTTTTTTTTTTTTTTTTTTTTTTTGGTTTCACTTCTGATTTCTGTCTCAAAGTGAAAGGCAGGAAATCTCTCAAGAGAGGCAGTTCTGGAGATTTCCAGCTCATTTTGGAGCTCTAGAGATTCAGATAGTTTGGGTAAACCTGTGAACTTTTGGATGTTTATCTGAACTGAACCTGAACTCTAAATCTTCTAAGGATTGCCCAGCTAAGTCAAAGGGAGGAAGGCCTATAATGATCATTTTAATGCTCTTTTCTCATTCAGCCATGGATATGACTCTCCTCAGTCTCCTGGGAATTTCTCTGTGCTGTATTAAAGAAAGAAAAGGCTAAATAGTGTGTATCACATACGCACAATTAAACACTGTATGCACCATTACCGTGGCAGATGCTATACATTCCAGTTACTAGTTGCTGCCTTTGGAGGAAGATTTAGCTAGAAAACATGACTATTTCCACCTGACGTTGCTTCTTATGATATTTTGTCATGTCAGATGAAGAAAACACTAAACAAAATTACTATTCTTTAGGAAGAAAACAATAAAAAGAAAAGGAAGCTCATTAACACTATATGAGGCATGTGCTCATTTCATTTAGTACAATTTTTGTAAAATGAGTATAGTTACATTTTCCTTGTCTGACCTTATAACTACAGCATCTGTATGTTTGATGTTTATCTGTGGGAGATCTCTGGGAAACAGGGAGAAGTTTATAATCTATGTTCTGTAGAAAATAATTCTGAAACACCAAAGATGATATCATTGCCTTCCTGATGTCAAAAGCAAGGTACTAGCTGATTTTTTTGCTGCAAGATTTTACTATTAGTAGTTAACATAAGAAATCCATATCTGAGCTAGAAACGAAGTAACAATTTTCATCCACTTTGTCAATATGTCTACATTTACCTTTGTTGTCTGCTGTGATTATCACTGGTTCAAATTTGTACTCTTGTGTTAAATGTGAAGCAGTCACAATACCTTCCCTAGTGTTCTCCAGTTTGTTGTATTTCTGTTCTTTTGAGACTGTATCAGGGATGGCAGTGATCTTATACTCAATAAGTGCAGTGTGTGGTGAAAACAGGGGTCTATGTTCTGTTGTCCTTCCAGATTCATGAAAAACCATTGCTTTAGCCAAACTTCCTCTGGCGATTCTGCAGATCAATGGTTGGGTGACAAGTTAGAAGAGGCAGTGCCCTTCATTCTGAGATAGGTGAGTATGGCTCCCCTTATTCCTCTCACCTGCCTTCAAACAGCAACTTAAATGCCACTGTTAGGAGCCTACAGTAGTTCCTTCAGTCTGTAGGAGGGTTGGTAATCACACAGCAAGGAAGATCTCGCTCTTTGGTTTTGCCTGAAACTATGAAGAATAAATCTTAAATTTACTTCCTGAATGCCTTTCTAAAATGTACCCTGAATTTTTATGAAATTGTGATGACTATGTTATCACAGCAGCAGTCATTTGTGCCTTTTGAGCTGCCTGACACAGCAGAAAATTTGGAATAGTTCATTTTGTTTTCAGAGGAACTTGGGAACCATCAGCTCACTCTGAACTCCTGTTCTCAGTGTTCTGCAGAGGCACACTGCTGTCATTGGCTTCACGCTATGGGAGCAGCTGCTTGTTGGGAACTCTTCAAAATGTTGGGATGGCTGTTATGTTCCTCAATCACATGAAATGTCTGTAGCAGAGTTCAGACTGGGCTCATTCCCAGATTTTTGACAGGGAATCAATTGGAGTTAGTTCCTGTTTGAAATTATAACTTATGTGGGATTTGGTAATTTTGCAGGATTTCCAGATATTTTAAATTTGGCTAGCTTTCTGTTTTCCTGTATATGTGGATCCGTGTAGACATGATGCCTATAGACAAGAAACTGCAAAAGTTGTAGTTTAAGGAGTGATTGTCATCACTGTGAATGCAGCTCTGCAGTTTGGAATGCTTATCTTAGACATCTTCACGTTGCTCTCAGTTTTTCTAAAATACTGCCTCATTGAGAGTGTGCTCTGTACATCATTGAGCTTCTTGGAACATTTTTTTTTTTTCCCCTACGAATGAAACTAATGGAATTAAGCAGTGAATGGGAGAAAGATATTAATAAATATATCTTTCAATGGTAATGGCTTAGAAGGAATGTCCATGCCAGTAGCATGGAAGAATGCCTCCTAGATGCACTTACCTAGGTATGCATCTGTGTTTACATAGCAAATCTCAAAGACGATTAGCTGCTATACACAAGGTCCAAGGAGAGCTGAACCTTGGGAATTATATTTGTTTGAGGGATATAACAGAGTGAACATTTTACGATCAAAGATTATTTGAGGTCTTTTCTGCAGATTGAATGCTTAGCATCATCTTGAGATGTAACTACAAAACTGATTCAAATATTCACTGTCTTTAAGTGTTTTCATTTTGTCTAAATATGCATCTTTCCTCTTCTTTTATCTCTGTAGATAATATTTGTTTTGCTGTCCAAAGAGGGTTTGTGTCTTTCTTTTAAAGTGAGAATATTGGATGTACGTTTAAAAAATTGAATACTTGCAAAACATTATTTAGATGCAGTCTTATATCATTAATTCCAAGAATGTTTCAAGAAGTCTCACTGAATGCAGGTCACCATCTGATGCTGCTTTATCTCAGAGAGAAAGAGGAACTGAGTAATAAAACGGGATTATCAGTGGAAGTGAAAACATTCAAAAGTTTGAAGCCTAAAAACAAACAATCTCTCTCTCACACTTTCAGGAGAGAGCCTTTCAAACAGGGCGTCAGATAATGAAAGATTTCCACTGGAGGTGCAAGTAAGAGAAATAATTAGGCTAGCTGAGCTTTAGATCAGTTAACTTGGACCTCACTGTGGTTTGGGTCTGACCTTGAGCTACCAGCTCTGTAAGCCAGAGAATAGGACTATACGTGATGTCTGTGGAGCTCAGATTCTTCCTTTTCTGAATCTGAGTGGAAAGAGAGTCAAGGCACTTGACTCTTAATGTTACCAAACAATTGATGAGCTGGAATCCAAATCCAGATGAGGATCTAAAAAGCGTATTTTGCATCCTGTTAGTCCCTTGAGAACTGCTAAACACCACCATGTTTTTGCTTTTGCATATTGCCCTTACAAATTTGTGAGTCGTGCAACTCTGTCTGCTCATAGCCCAAGGACTTCTGATGATGAAGTCTGAGAATGGTGATTTCAGTCTTATATTTTGTTCTGCCATGAGTTGTCATGGAAATTGGCTTGAGGTTGCAGATCTAATGTGAAATGAAGGCAAGCAGGAAGTGACACTGTGGGGCCACAAGCCTTATGTGAGAGCCTGTTGCCTGAGATCAGCTGAGATCTGGCTGCCTTGGTACTTGCTATCTCGTCTTTCAGCACATCAGGAGATCTTACTAGGATTTGTTCCAATTAAGAATTGTTTATTACTTAAGTAAAGAGTTTAGTGCCTAATTTCCTGCTTGCTTTTAGAACTAAAGAATGTGGAATTCATATTTACTGACTGAAGTTTTTTAATGGCAGAAAAAGCAATGAAATATACAAAAAACCTAATATATATGGGGCAAAATGCCAGAAATACTTAAAAAAATAACAGCGCCCTCCTTTTTAGTACAGGATGGAGTGGATATCCAGAGATGAGAATAAATACAGAGTGTAATTAGGGTGATGCTTTGTTGTTAAACTGCTGGAATAACGGATAATCTGCAGTCTAGGAACTTCTCAAGGTGCAAGTTGTATTTTTACCTTGGTGTTTTATTTGCCAGTGGTTCTCATTTCTTTCGCAGTCTGTATAGTCCAAAAGTGTATAGGATTTTGTGGATTGGAAGAAACACCTCTCTGTGCACAAATTTATTAGAAAGGGTGGTACAATCTCAGAACAGCCTGCATAATTATTTCCTAGTCAGTGATACTGCCAAGTGTGTAGGAAGCTAAATTCTTCCTGTACGAGGACTTCCATTAATTTGCACATTAATTTCCACTATGCTGAACAAAATCACTTCCAGTCATGGGGTGGTCTTTGTTTTCTCTCTGGGTGTCTGAAAAGACTAATAACTCTATGGATAGTGCAGTTGCTCAGGACTGTCCTTTTCCAGAGCTCTGGACCATGTGGTGTTCAGGATTGCACTGGGAATTCCCCCTCCCTCCCTTCCCTGCTTTATTTGAGTCCTGCCCATGATTTATAGGAGAATGGGAGTCTTGACATTCAGAACACAGAAATGTCTATTGCTTATTTCCCAGTAGAACTTTTGACTTAGAAGATTTAGATGCTTTTTCTTATTAAATTGAGTGAGTACTTCAGTGTTTTCGACTCAAAGCCCATCAACATATCTTCATATTTTGTCAAGGGGCCCATCTGCCAATTCTCAGTGGAAGTGCTGTTAGCAGCGCTGGAAATCCAGCATGGTGGTCTAAGAAAAGGATAGGAGCCAGACATTTGTGTTCAGGCTCCAGTTTTCTCTTGTGTTTGGCTACAGTTACCGAAACCAAGACTTTAAAAAAAAAAAAAAAAAAAAAAAAAAAAAAGCCCTACAAAAAACCTCTGTATCTGGTTTGTGATGAATAAGCTTTTCACCCCAAAATCGGAAAACTCCTGCCCCATCCACTTCTGAAGATATTTCTTAGCTTTATGCCTGTTTCTTGATCTGTTATCTTTCAATGGTGCTGTATTTATTAAAGCAGACTTGGCTGTTAGGTAGATGTTTGCAGTGCAGTGGTTAAATACGAGAAACTAAATGTGTGGATGGCAGATTAGGTAGTTAATTTTGGTCTGTAATTGCAAGCAGAGAGTAGAGTAGGAAAACTTGTACAAAACCAGATCATGTATTTCAGATTTGAATCTCTGCCATTAAATCTCTGTCTCTGTTACTCATATGTGACCTCAGACGCCATACCCTGCTCTGGCTTCCAGCTCTTCCCCACTGTCACTACAGTGGCATTTGCCTGTTTCTGAGGTGAGAGAGTGAGCTGGAAGTGTGCTGCGTGGCATCCTGCAGTTCCATTCCTGATACAAAACACACTTCTCACCTTCAGGATGCTCCTGTAAGTGTTCTGCTTCTTCGCCTTCGTGCTCCCCCTGCCTCTGCATGACTGCACTCTCTTTCCTTTAGGAGAAGTTTTATGTTCGCGTTATTAATTTTGACCCGATCATTGTTTGTGAGACCAATAATTGGGAAAAGTCAGCTATTGCTTAACAGCTTTAGTGGTAAATCAGTTCCAGCAGCTCTGTGCTGCTACTCGCAAGAACCCATGTGCTTCTCAGCTAGAAGCTCTCATCTCCCTCTCCTCCCCTCTCCCTCTCTGAGATCTTCTGCTGGATCCATATGTTGCTGAGGATGTAAGTGCTTCAGATGAGTGGTTCAATACACAGTTATGATCCAAATTTTTGGCGTCAGCTTTTTATTGCAAATTGTTGCCTGGCTTGAGGCATGAGAGAGTGGGAGCAGAGAGGGCTCTCTATCATATGTGAAACAACGAGAAGGCAGGCAGCTACTGCAGGAACTATACAACAGCGTTTTTTTGGAGCATGAAAATGGGATCTGGAGCAATCCTTTGGCCCCTAATCTCCTCCTAATTGATAGCTGTTGCTAGATCTGGGGATTTTAGCAGGGACCCTGACAGTTTTGCTTGGAGGAAGGGTTAGAGTTTCAACCGCAATAAACATTGCAGATCAAGTAAGTAGTATGTAAAGTGTTTTGGTCTAGCATGAGGCACAAAATCCAAATCTGTTCAAAAATAAGGTCTGGGTACCAGTGATCATATTCTCTACTGTCTTCAGTTTAGTTATCACGTAGCCTAAAGAGGTAATGAAAATGTAGGTAGATGTGTGCACATACAGAGTAAGTGTCCTGATACATAGCAATTTGTTTTGTACTTTATATTAGGCATAAGTTGATCCTTGCACACAATACTGATAAATGCAAATAAATTTCCAAACTAAACGAGTAGCAACTGTAGGAGATTTTAAATGGCAGAGATACGGGATAATATCCTTTGACCAGCTCTTTGAAAACATGGAGTTGCAAAGAAAAAAATGAACAAAAAAATGAACTAAAAGAAGTGAAAGACAGATATGCATGTGCTTGGGCTTTGTTCTGAGGTGACGCCCTCCAGGAACCTTGCAGTATCAGGCATTCTTACTCTATGCACAATTCTACACACAGTTCTCCCAAGCGAAGTCCTGGTGTAGCACGGTCTGTGGAAAAGCCAGAATAGAGATTCCCTGGGATA